AATAGGAAAACAGGCTTCCTTATCTTGGACTTTAGAATGTCGCACCATCAATGTATGCCACGTCTTCGAGACTCGCATACAGGACGCGAGTAGCGTCATTCATCTGACCTCACCATGTCAAAATAAAGAACTGACTCGGTTTACGCTTCGTGTATCTGGAAGCCGTGATACTCCTTCTCGTGGCCTCGCCGGCGTAGATATAGCATTAAGTTCTAGGGCAGAACTATCTCTCTTAGACTGGATCCCAGTACAGTCGTTTTCCCGTTATCCAACTAAACGGAACAGTAAGGATCCGAAAAGATAGGGACACTCGTCGTTGCCTCTTCGTCGTCTCTGCCTATTCTCCCACTGACTGCAGCTCAGGTGATGTAAAAGATGAGTTTTACAGAACGCTTTCCGACCTTCTCCGAAAAGCTAGGCGCTCTGATGTAGCAAAAGTGGCTGGTAACTTTATTGCTCAAGTAGGTAAATTAAGCGAAAGGGAATGACACCTGGGTGGATCTTATAGCGTCGTGCCTCAAAGAACAGATAATGGCGACCGTCTGTTGCAGCTATACTCAGATAATATAACCGTCTGTTTCTTGCAAAACTGGATCTCAACAGCGTCTACCGCACTGATAGACGCTCGAAAACTCATTCCATCTGGCTCTGAACATAACGAAGATCAGAGTCAGTTTAAGCGCAAGCTGACAAGAAGCCTACGCAGTGATCGTGAATAGTGGTGGGTAGCGATAGCAAGAGAGATGGAAAAGGCAGCGGTAATGATTGCCCGAGGCAAACACCTTAATGACGTTACCCCCCCTACACTCAGCAGTACGACTTCGCCCTCAGACCTTGAGTTGCTGCTTTTAGTCTTACCGTTCTCCAGTCGACCTGCCTGGCATGGTGGAACATATGTTCCGGCCAATATAGTTCGGTCCGGTCATCACGATAGGCAAGCCCGACCACCGCATCATGGTAGCAACTCCTCTTCACTTGCTCGTTTATGTGTATTATGGTGGCTTTCTTCTCTATTGTTACACAACTCAAATATTCTATAAATCTGTAGAGATTATTGGGTAAATGTAAGCAATATATCCATTGAGGTAAATGGATCTTTAATCGGAAGTTATAATAAGTAATCCTAGAGAAAAATAAATGTATCGAAACAAAATGAAACCATCAAATCTCAATTGATATCATTGAGTGCTTACATACTTATGTATAGATGGGGATTTAGGTAAATGATTCTGCCTATGACGACAATAAGAGCTTTCTAATCTAACTATCCAATTCGTGAGATATACGACCACTAGAAACAACAAGTAGTTGTATGCACTGAAAAAATCGATAGATTTAGTACACATCGCTTCATTCACTGAAAACAAATCCATTAGCAAAATGTATGCTAAACATACATTTGTTAATTACGTCAAATACTTAAGTTGTTGCTTTTACTTCCTTATACACAACAAGGTTATAGTTGTGATGGATCTCGGAATGATGGAAGATGTGCTGTTGGCAGCAACATCAGTAGCAGAGGAGTTGGTGGTGGTAGTTATGCTCAAATGTATGGTCAGGCAACGCCATACACGAGCAATGGAAGAGGTGTACCATTGTGTGATGGTTATGTGACTGATCCGTATCAAATGGCTTCAATCAGCCAAAAAATGGGTGGTATGATATTATTTGAACCTGGCTTATCTGCTGCTTCACAGCAAAATTTTGTCTTTCAAGTAAGGGATTGTAACATTGTTGCTATTATCATATTTATCCCTTATGCACAATCATAATTTTATGGTTCAGACCAAATTAAACGGTGACTTAAGTGTTTGGAAGAAACGGTTGGTTTGTAACCAACAGGTGTGACATTCAAATCCCCAACTTCTATCTACTTTAGTTTGGACAATTGGGTGGTATCATTAGTCTTTATAAATGCAGGTGCCGTTTGACTGAAAAGAGCCGCATTTTTGCGTTGCTATCGTTCGATTAAATATATCATATTTTTGTGCGTATAAATGTTGTACATTTTGGTGGAGTTCTCTGAGCTCAGAGAACAAAACTCCACCAAAATCATCCACCTGAGCTACAAATCTTCTCCACCATTTCAATGTTGTATATTCCCTATTCGAAGCGCATGAATTTGGTGTGAGTTTGACAAGTCACAAAATTTAGCTAGTAGATCATGTGACATTTGACTAGGTTGTTGTATATCACTACCATACAGAGCATTACGTGAATCCGTCAGTGGTTTCTAGTGTAATTTTCATAGAAGGATTTTAAAGTTGATTCTGTGTTCTGTTTGTTGATAAGGTGTTTATCAAAAGTTAAATCAAATGGCCCTCGACTAACCATTACTTATTAACAGTTGGATAAAATTCAAAGCCAATCCATGATTTCGTTTTGCTTGGTATTCATCGCCAATGTGCATCTGGATTTTCAAAGGAACCAATATTCTACACGAGATTAGATTCCACATCAATGCAGATAAGGGAAATCCACAAAATAAACATCAACAAAGTTTATGTAATAGGCATTAGTTGTAGTATTGATCACAGTGGAATAAACCAAATGTTGATTCGTGAAGAACCAGTTTGAAGTGCCATAATTATGGAGTATCAACAAAATCCAGGGTGTACAGAAACAAAAACATCAACCCTACTAAGACCACTTTTGAGCTATAGAGTGCGACTATTGTGCTTAACTGAAACAGGATAGCCAGACCTTCTAACACGCTTCAAACTAAACGTTTATGGCTTCGAAAATTAACGCCGTGTTTTTGTTTGGCCACTACGCGTCTTTTTCCAACTTGCCCTTGTGTTAATCATCACTAACCTTGAGTAACACCTTATCTTGAGTTGAACTACAGTTAGTAAATATATCATTTCCGAATGCAAATCAATGATCAAAGAAGTGATTTGAATGATAAATTCAAATAAATAAATACCAAACGTTTATCTGTATGTTCGATCAAGATTTCGCACTAGGATTTTAAACTGTGGATTTTGTTAAAAACGCAATAAAATAAGTTGTTAAACTAGTTGTGTTTCTCATGAGGTGTCAATCAGGAATAGTTTTATTGGTTTGATTTACTGTTCTGTCATTTCAAACAATCAAATCTTCCTTCATTGACTGGTAAAACAGTATCTGATTATTGCAATGTTAACTTATGTTTTCCTATTCGTCAACTCATGTCAGTTGGTACTTAACGTCGAAAAAACTAGAAGATCAAATGGATTTTGTGGCTTGCGCAGAGTTTCCTAACTGTATTTGAAGCTGTAACATATTGGTCTTAACGTTCATCTCTCAACCGCTGTGTCATTAGGTTTCAGTCCTGATTAACTCATCAAAGTTTGGGCTGTCAGGTCACTTTAGCCTTTCGTCAATGGTTAGATTAGTTCGTGACTAAGACACGATTACTGTATCGGTCAAGTTTAAATTTGCTTCTTCTCAATAACCTATATAAGGACATTTTCTTCGCTGTGGTCCACCACAGCTACATTGTATCTTGATAATTAAATTTGTTTTGGTAGTAGTAGTAGTAGTGGCAGCAGTAGTAGTATCTATCATTGAATTTGACACTATTTTTACAAAGCGTTAAAAATACATAACTGCCTTTCTAAACACATAACTAGTTTTCTGAGCGTAGCAAACGACAACTACAACTACTGACACCGTTTCGCAGCTACAAAAAGGGCAAACTAAGGTTCATAATCCAATGTCTATTTTATTCATTGTGAGTGAGTCTTTCATTTGGTGCATTTAGCGTTGATGATGGTAAGCTATTGTGCTTAAGCGTCATTCCGCTGGATTTTGTCGTTTGACTATTTTCTGTTGTACATAATATATGAAGACTCATAATGTAAAGCTATTTCTGTCACGGGTTTGATGTAAGTAACAACTGTATATTATATAGATGCACAAAAGGTTTTTTCTAATAAAGCGAAAACACTGAATAATATGTTTGGGATATTTTTACAACACAGCTAACTTTGTAAGTTTTTTTTTTCATTTGGGGCTGAATTCAAAGCTAAGGGGACTTTAGTAACGACAATATTAAACAACATCAACTTTTGCAACTACTTACTGTAAAAATCAGTGTTCTGGACTTGTCCATCTGCTTGATTTTAAAAAATAGTTATGTCGGTAATCAGTGTTGGTGAGTAATAGGATAAAAAAACGACCGACCACATCAAGGGTTTTGCTTCAATTCGTTTCTCTTCAAATTGAAGTTTGTGCTTCTCTTTTCCCACATATCCTTTTTTTCCTTCAGTGGTATCTCACTGTGTGGTTTTGCAGTATGCCATTTTGAACAAATGAGAAAAACTACATGAGGACCTATAATATTAGAGCTTAAATGTCAGCAGTTCCATGAACCTGTATTTGCGTTGTACCAGTTGCTACAAACGTGTGGTACTAGTTGTTGTAGTTGAATGTTTTCGATTAATGGTGAGTTGAAAAATTCCCCGGATAATATATTTAATCTCCAAACTTTTTCATTTTAGCCTACAAAGGGTCAGGTCGCTGGTGATTTTAATTATGGAAGAGGTCAACCAGGTGGGCGTGGCAGTCGCGGAAGACCTTATTAATAATGATACTATTATTACTTTGTCTTTTGTTGATGGATATCACCATTTACTTTCTTCATCATTATGAATTGTATTTCAGTTGGTTTCAACGTTTCTTTCTTTTCTTTTCATAAATGTACAACGTTTTATCTGTCCTTACCGAATAAAAACAAAAACTAACACCTCATGGATAAATAAAAGCTGTTCTCCGTTCCATTGGCGACTATTAGTAGTTGTCCGGTGAAAGTTTACGGATCAATACAGTCTCAGCAATATGTGGTGGCTTATTTTCACTGATAAATCGAATTATCTCTTCTGACTTCTCATTGTCATATGTTGTTTTTTCGTAAGTAGAAAGGTTTTATTGCTTGTGTGTAAAGTGTGACTGGGAATAATGCAAACTTATCACACAATTCGGAAATCGACCAGTGAGGGTCGGGAAGTAGATCAGTGGCTCAATGGTCAAATCCCTTGAAAGTCAATTATTCGATCACACAAGTTAAAACCCCACTGTGCCTCCGGTTTAAGCAACATGCAAGTATCACCAGCCGTTACACAATAGGTCTTTACGAGTATTAGCCTTGTCGTGTGGTACTACTGGTAACAATTAACAATATCTTTCTTTACCTAGACTAGTGTGACTGGACTATCCATTTTATAGACAACCGTACGGTAAACTAGTAATACCCGTGTTTTGTAACTGGATGGTGTGAGACTTGCTGCATAAAATAAAACATCCAGAATGAATTTAAACTAGCGATAGGTATTGTTTGCCAAAGTTCCGCTTGCTGACGCGTGTATGCAAAGGAATCCAGCATTACAATCAAGTTTATATTCGATTTGTTTATTCATAAATTGTAATTATGTTTGTTCAGTTGATTACTTGGTATCAGTAATGATATCTTGTCCATAATTTTTGTTTTTCAGTAAATATGCTGCTAAATACTCAATCGGTTTCTGTGGTCTATAAAAAATAACCTTAGTATATTGCTTTTAGGTTACCTTTCCTTACACAGTTGTGTAAGACCATGAATAAGTACTGGCACGACTAATCTCTCCAAGTAAGTACGTATTGGTAAAGACTGAAGTTTGGTTGACGAGGCTTCCAACCGAATATCAGATTTCACATAGCTTATAGTGCTGCTAAGACTTTGAATGAAATGCTCAATGTGAATCTGCTCGTTCGGCATTTTTATTGAATGGGACGAATCTTTAAATTTTCTATGCTGGTATTCTGAATTGTTTTTTGGTTGCCTTTAGTTTCGAACAGTTAGACCAGAGAACCATAAAATTATCTGCAAACAAGCAAAAAAACAAATATATTTTTCTAAATGAGTAGCTAATTGTGAATCCCTAAAGCTAATTTTGATGGTTGCCCTCAGTATTTCGGTAAGGCTTCCCCCGGTCTAAATGTGTGACTTACGACGTAAAAGCACCACTCACTGTTTGTAGTTATAGTTGCAGAGTGGTTCACAAAATAAAAGTATCCTAACTAACTTGTTTTACATGGAAGGAAGGTGTAGTGGCTAAAAACAGTGGTGCCTATCATCTTTGAAGCTCCTCGTGTGATAAACAACGTTATTTTCATCGTGACCAAAGTTACTAAAATGAGACATCAAATATTGAAGCGCTGGAAATTAACTGATCTTCCGGTTGAATTCTGTTCAGATCATGTCAACTAAGCAACTCATAAAAACCTGTTTGCCTGAAATGCAAGATATATTTTAGGGAAATTCCTAATCAAGACTCATAGATTTGATTTAAGCATGCAGTAATCTCGAGAAACGTCCCTCCAGGTGTTGTTCCGTCTCCTACTAGAGGCATACTTAGTGCGATTTCCGGTGTTGCTGCCGTCCGTAGAAATGTCAGGATTCAGAATGACAAATTTCATAACTGCAGTCTTAGTTACCAGGATGTCATATAAAGTCTAGCCTTCCTATCTAGGTCGTGTAACAAGGTTTAACTAGAGACAAAAAATGCATTGTAATCGGAAAGATATTCAGAATAGGCGGTCGGAAGGTATGTTTGTCTCATCTGATGAATTTAAGTATTGATTTTATTTAGAAGCTGGCAAGTATTCCAACTGACTATGATGTTGTAAATAAACAGACTTTATTTGAAACACTTCCTCCCTTAGACTAAACACTACATAATCTCGTATGTATTCATGCAGTTTTTTCATCGCGATAATTCGAAAGTACGTCCTCTCAGTAATCAAAATTGATGAATTGTTATATCTGGTTGGTTATTATGATCTTCACTGACGGATAAATCTTAAAATTCTGTATTCCGAACGGCTTCGAACAGATACCACTTCCGATCAAGATTTTTATGTGAATTAACCAATCTTGTCGATATTTAACATGTCACCACTAGGGCATTTCACTGTATTATGACTGTGCAGCGACCACTTTTTACATATTCTGTCAAAAAAGCCTATGGAATGAGTAACGGACAGTTAATGCAATTATAGCAATTATATGTTTGGTGTCTTGGTCTGTAATAATATTGTTGTCGCAATATACAATGTGATCATATTCGGACCTCTCCGAGTTTGAATTATTGATTGAATCTTTCTGAGGTTTTATTTCAATGTGGATCACTAGTAATCTACAATACCACTTTAAAACATCAGAATCCTGTGTTTGAATATGTAATCCTTCCACAGAAGGACCATTAATACAACTACATTCCTAGTAATGAGTGCTAAAGTTCTTCGGTGGAATTTGCATAAATAGACGACTCCGAACTGACTCTCAACTAATGGAAAAGGCGTTTAGACACGAAGCGATTGGCGGAGAGAACATTAATACGATTGTGTTAACGTTCTCTTTACAATTTTAGCTGATAAATTTTTGACTCGTTCAAACAGCTTCTTGTATGAATTTTTATGGTCTTTAACACGAAATGACATCAGGTATGCTGCTAAAATGTGTTTCACGCCAAAATGTGTCTAGTTGTTTCATAGACTACATATGACAAACCAAACACATTTGTGCCTTTAGAATTTTTGAAAACACTGGAAAATGCAGTTACCGTTGCTCTAATACAGAGTGAGCATATCGCGTAATATATCTCTGTTTACTGTGTTAGGGAAACAAGATCTTCGTTTAACCATAACTAGAGCCCATACATACGAAGGAAACTCTAATTATTAAAGGCCAGGGTTTTTGCGTCGCGATTGTCACGATGGCGACTGGGACTCGTATCCAATATAGATGATGTTAAACTCTAGTGATTGGTGAAACATTCTATGATGGTTAACTTAACGACTAGTAAATAAGTGTTATGGCAAGTGTCCCATTTATGATTGAAATATTGCTATTCAGAATTAGCAGACTTAACAAAAGATAGATGATAATGAAAATGTAGTCCAGATGAAGTGCTCTTCAAATGGTTGTGGACGGAATAGAAGAAGCTTTCGCTTAACAGGCTTCCGTGTCTAGTAGCAGGGGATCACCAAATCCTCCAGGCAGGAACCTAGGTATGTTAACAATAAAAGAGGAAAAGAAATTGGTACATCATAGTGTGATGCTGTCCTTGGTCCTTAAGAATAGGTCAAGTTGCCTCTTGAAGGACTCCTGAGAAGTCGCTTGGACTAGCTCGGCCGGCAGCGAATTCCAGCTTTTGACAACTCTTAAGGAGTAGAAGTTGTGTCTACATTCCGTCTTGCTATATTGTGTTTCCAGTTTCTGGGTGTTACTCCTTAGGTTATTATTCGAACTAAGCTTAACTAGGTGTTTAAGAGGATGTTTAGGAGTGTTACGCATACTGTAAGCCATTAGGTCACCTCTGAGACGCCTATACTCTAATGGGTAAAGGTCTAGTGAATGGAGGTGTTCTTCGTAAGGTTTAGATTTGAGTCCTCGAACTAATTTCGTGGCTCGCCGTTGGATACGCTCCAAAGTGACCTTGTCCTTTTGGAGTGAGGGGGGAGTACTATGTTTCCGTACTCTAACTGGGGACGGATGAAACTAGTGAAGATTGTATGGAAAGTTCGTCCGTCAAACTGTCCGAAAATGCGCTTCAACGTTACCAGTGCAAGGTTTGCTCGGAAGGCGTTTTTGTCACAGTTAGCGTAAGACTTTAAATCATGGGGCACCAGGACTCCTAAATCTTTTTCGACTTGGGATACTACTAGAGAGGAGTTTCCTAAGTTGCAACTGTAGTTTGCAACATGTCGCAGATGGACTACTTTACACTTTGAAGTGTTAAATGTAAGTCCGTTATCGTCTGCCTAACTTTGAAGCCGAGTCAGATCCTCCTGAAGCGCCTGTATATCGTCTTGGTTGCGTATCTCTCTCCAAAGTTTCACGTCGTCGGCAAAAAGTAATAAGTCTGATGATACCTGTTGAGGAAGATCATTTATATAAACCAAGAAGAGAAGAGGCCCTAGTACTGAGCCCTTGGGGACCCCACTAGGACATTCCATAGCCTGAGATAAAGTGAAATTAACCCTGACCTTAAAGTGTCGATTTTTCAGGTATGAAGTAAGCCAATCAGTTAGAGGTGGTCTGATACCTAGTCGTTTGAGCTTATTGATAAGACATGTATGGTTAACCTTATCAAAAGCTTTTGAGAAATCTGGGTAGATGATGTCAACCTTCGCCTTGCGATCGAGGATGCCTGTCCATCTGTCCACTGCAGTCAGCAGGTTGGTCATACAAGAGTAACCCTTCCTGAAACCATGCTGTTGGGGTGAGAAGAAATTTAAGGACAGTAGATAGTCGTTTAAACCGTCGCATATCAGGGACTCCATGAGTTTTGAAAGTAATGACAGAAGAGCCACCGGCCGATAACTTGAAGGTTCATTGCGTCGACCTCCTTTGAAAATTGGTGTGATGTGAGCCAACTTCCAATTTTCCGGTAATTTGCCTAGGCTTAGCGAGTGTGAGAGCATCACGCTAAGCGGCGTTGCCAGGATTGAGGCTGCCTCCCTCAGTATGGCAGGATGAACCATATCCGGGCCAGGAGAAGTATCTAATCTTAAGTGCTGCAATTTCCGGAACACCAAGTCAGCTCTCCGGTCTACTTCGGAAAGTCCTGTGGGATTGCAGATGAAACTGTAAAGTTGATGTCAGCCGGTTGAAATGTTTGAGAGTAATGTTCAGCCAGAAGGTCAGCGGCTTCGCCGTCGTTGTTGGTCGGGCCGTTGAGACAATAGTAGTTGGGAAACTCTAGTTTTGGCTTGACGAAGAGAGGCTGCATAACGGAATAGGCTTCTAGGGTTAGAGGCAAATTTGTCCATAAGCTTTGTCTGATACTGAAGCCTGTCTTCTCTTATAGCCTTCGTGCATATGTTCCTGATATGTTTGTATTGCCTATACGCTCCGTCGTTATCAGTTCGTTTGTATTCTGCCCAACAGTGCCTTTTGCGGCTTAGCAGGCAAAGGGTACGGTTCTTGATTACTGTAGGTGGCTTGCAGCTTTTGGGAACCGTTTGAAGAACTGAATGATTTGTAGCACATAGGAGCGTGTGCAGTAGGAAGTCCCAATGACCGTCCACATCGAGTTGAGGGTGAACATCCCAAACCACCTGTTGTAGATGGTCATGTAGAGCTGGCACATTCAGCCGTTTAAAATTCCAACGCAAATTATTGTTGGGATACCTCAGCTTAGTTTTGATGACAAAACTGAAGGCTATGACGGCATGATCGCTCTTTCCCAGAGGAGCCAGGATTGAGAGGTTGTCGACTAGGAATTCTTCGTTAGTGAATACACAGTCTAAGCGCGATGGTGCCTGACTGTTTCTCCAACGAGTTACCGACCTCACATTTTCATATAAGCCCAAGTCATCGATGAGGTTGAAGAACCGAGCTTCAGTTGAGTTGTCGCCTCCAGTGTACGTGTGTTCCGCGAAGTTGACTCTAGGGAGATTAAAGTCCCCTAGAATCAGGATGTGTGTGAAACCGAGACGGGTGGAGCGGGATGGTTCTTCCAGCATACGACTATCGTACTCGGTGTCGGCAGTTAGCTTCCTGTAAATGACTCCGACTAGACACCTCGAAGTACTGGACAATCTTACAGAGCACCATATGGATTCCTCAAGATTGTTAAACTCGAGGTTGTGAACCTGGTGCACCTTCAAGCAAGAGCTTATGTATATGGTTACTCCGCCCCCAATTCCTGTTTTTCTGTCGTTGCGGTACAAAGTCACCCCAGGCAATGCTAACTCTTGGTCCGAGAACTGAGAAGATATCCAGGTTTCAGATATTCCTATCAGATGGGCCTTATTAGCGTTGCTAAGTTCACGTAGTTCATCCAGTTTGTTTGGTAGACTCGCGGCGTTCATATATAAGCAGTTTATGCTTTCAATTTGGAACGCGTGAGCTTCGTCCTGTTTTTCTGTATGAACCTTATGTGAATGGACAGGTAGCCCACCTATATGAGGTTTGCCGAGGTGATAGGCCTTGTCCTTTACACGTTTTTTATCATTTAGACAGTCCACAAGTGGAATGGTCAGCTCCAACTTGCTTTTGTGTCTGGTCCTAGCTTCATATGGCCTATCCGAGTGCATGTGGATTCCAGGTGGCAATCGATGTCTGTTGGCACGAAATGCTTCCAGAACTGCAACAGCCATGTGGGAAGATGGGAAGGTTATCTTTATTAGACGAGGTCTAGGATCACTGTCCTTCTTGGCTAGTCTCGTCACATGCTGAGTCAGTATGTGTTTGAGCCTCAAGGACTGTTTGATGAATTTCCATTCCCTGATGTCAGAATTTGATTGAGTAGGGTCTGCATTTTCCGGTATACCTTGCACAATTATGTTTCTTCCGTGGAAAAGCTGATCGCGAGATTCTTTAGGGGTATCCGTATGATATTGCGCTCAGAGTACGGTATGTCGGGCAATATTCTTACGTTGCCATCTGATTTTAGCAAGTGACTTGCTAGCAAGACGTCCTCAACGTCGGCAGAATTCTTAAGTGTTACTCGGAGAAGCCTCGGGTGATTTAGATGCTTAGAATCCTTTCCTCGAGTGAGCCGGGTGACCGTCAAAGGCTCTATCCTAGGACGTTCGAGCTTCTCGTTCAATTCACCCCAGAGCATCCTGTCATTTTTGTCCTGCAGACTGAGAGGAAGGTCAGGATTGTCAACGAGGTTCATGATAATGAGAGAATTGTCACGAACTGTTGTCAATTTACCAGATTTCACAATGGGTTCAGGTTTATTAGCTTGTTGCTTGGAGGTCAGTGGGCGTTTTTGAGTCTTGGGCTCTTTGTTGACCGGACGAACAGTCTTGGGGGTAGACTGTGCGACCAAATCACCAGTTATTTTCCGTACAGCAACACTTGGGTTGCTCGGCTTAGGCAGTGATGCCTGGTTCTTTTGGGCTCTCTTAACGTGGGTCGAATCACCTACAGGGTTTTTGGGAACCACTGTTGTGTTCGGGGACCCTAAGCTGGGAGACCCAAGTTTGCTTAAGGAGTCTAGTACCGTCGACGTAATGATGGTGCTGAGCCTCGACACGTCATCATTAGTGTTGATGGATGCTCCATCGATGGTATGCCTATCGGCATCCCTATTTTTGTGTCCGTCGCACGCTCTTGTTTGTCGACCGGTTTTTTTACTATCTTTATCCAAGTTAACTGACAACTTGTTCCGAAGACATGTCAGTAGGACAATGATGTTACTCAGCAAGACTACGGAGTCTGTGTTGCACGTGACACACACCCACTTTTGCTCTGACTTGCTGAGTCTGTTGTAAGCAGTTGCTGTCAGATCTGTGCATGCTTCGTGGAACCAACCTTTGCAGTTGTCGCACTGCATGCCAGTTGTAACAGCAAAACGGCATCCCGGACGTTTGCATGAGTTTTTCATGACTGTGTTGAAGCAAACTATGTTATAGATGCTTGCAAAAGCCTAAGACCTTTAAAAAAACACTGAAAAGGTCACTGAAAACGGAAAAAATAGGTAAAAACGAGTGATATAAACTGAAACTAGTCTATACATGAAAAACAAAAACAAAACGAATAGTAAGCTGAGGCAAAACCACAGGTAACTATTAAATATGGTGAAACTCAAAAAAAGTAATCTACCGAACGTATAGCTCAGGATAGATTCTTTAGAACTGAAATGGTACTTTTGTTGCGTAAGAACACAGCAAAAGTTTGATATATGCAAATCACGTTAGGACTAAACTTCCCGTTCGAAAAGCGCGCGTTGTGGCTTGAGAACTTAGAACTTCTCTGGACATTATCAAAGTGG